AAGGGACTATTTTCACTTAAGATGACTGGGAAATATGATACTCAAGCGTTCATTTAGTTAAATCCACACTGACTCCAACCTCTGTTCAGCCAACTCTGTCTGTGTGTTTCAATTAGCAGACAAGAGGATAAAAATCAATGTGAAAACACGGGTGTAGCATGGTGTGGATGCTGCATTTAATTAGAAAAGTGCATCTGTACCATGAGATGGGCGCGTGATGGGCAACAGATGCTTCTCACTTTTCATACAACTATATATCGTAATACACGTTTCCTGGTGTCTGCCTGTCCCCTTAGCAAACATTAGGAAACAGACTCGGTGGCTTTGTTATACAGGAAAAGGAGAAAATAAGTTGAAAATCACATATTGTTTCTCCACACAGAACTCAAGACAAGAAAACATCCTAATGCCAACGACGAGCAGAATGAAACGTCTCCATCTCAACAGGAGGCTCTGCATGATTTGGATCAACAGGATGGTGAAGAAGCAAACTGCAGACCTGACACAGTTCCTCCTCATGAAAGAGGTGGTGATGACCGAGCTGGTGGTGACATCACGCTGGCAAGGGAAACTGGAGGAATACCAAAAGAGAGCTGAAATATCCTCTGGCACAACCAGCAGGTAGGATGAGGAAGTGGAACCCACTAAAACGTGAGCAAAGAATTTCATCAGATGCTGCCAGCCAATCAGAGGAGGAGGAAAGCTCAGGGAATCTCTTTCACGCAAACTCCAGCTTCATGAGACGGAAACTACGACGTGAGGTGGTGGAGGAAAATGATTTGCTGAGGGCGAGAAAGTCGAAGAAAAGGATGGACAGACACGAAATGAAAGCCAGATGATCCACAAGAGGAAGTGGACATGAGAGCAGCACCTCCTGCATTAAACAAACAAAGACAGAAAAAAGTAAAAGGAACAAACCCCATAATGAAAATGAAGAGATATTTTTGTTAACTTTTTCAGATTACAAGATTCGGACTGAGACATTTGTCTTTTGTTATGCTTTATAAGAAAGAGTCTGAGTGTAAATGATAGAGAATATAACATTGTGCATAACCAGTAGAATGTCCAGCTATGATATATTAGACAAAAGGGCGTCTCCCCCTCTCGGCATTGTATTGGTGCTGCAGTGTGCATCAGTGTGATTTATGAGTTTCTCACTGGTGGAAAACGTTAGAGGAACTTTCTGGTAACCTATGTGTCTTTTCCACTGATTGCCTCCTCTCCTTTTCCTCATCCTATTCCCTCCTCAAAAACACAAGGTATGCAGAGCTCTTATGTTCTTCAAAAATACATTTCTAAATTGTGAGATTTATTCAACAGCTCACCAGGGGAAGGAGTTCTGTTGCTAAAAGTCCATGGCAGAGATACAGATCAAAGGTTCCCAGACGCCTACATTAACTTTCATCTATCAGGGAGACACGATGTTGGAGTGCATCCATCTAAAAGCCTCCCAGCTTTAAAACTTCAGAAAAGGGAAAATATCTGGAACACATTTCAGTTACATTTTTCATACAAGGCGTGAAAAGTAGAAAATTGTACTTCCCATTTCCATGGTAAATTTATGATTAAGATTTTGCATCTAGATGGAAACTTTTACTTCTATTTATGCCTTTCATCATAGCTCTGCTTACATTTACTTGGCCACAATTAGTGAATCAT